CAAACGAAAAAAATAGTGAAGTAGTATCCGTAGTATTTTTTGCCCCGTGGCCAAGGTAACCTAAAAAATCAACAAAAATAAAACATTGACTTGAATTGATAGTTTATCGAAAAATTGTACGGAATTTAAACATTTTATTTTTTTCAAGTAAAGTACCAATGATCAAAAAACCACATATTTGTAGGTATACTATATTACCATGAACAAATCGGACCATTTTCACTAGTCAAAAAAGTGTTTTCGAAGGAAAAAAATTCAAAAATACATACATATTAGTAAAACTATAATAGTTTCTTCACTACACCAAGAATCTAAAAAGTTTAGTTCAATAACTAATAAAACATGATTATACGGTTATTGTTATAAAGTGTCACTCTTCTTATCTTCACACTAATAACATTAGGTATTCCTACCTATAATTTCAATCCTCATAAACAGTATCCGGTATCATTAGAAATTCAGTATAGGTACAATCTGAACGATTTTATTATTTTTGTATCATAGATTTTTATTTTATGAATAATGCGCACTTACGGGTATTGAGTACGTAAACCCTATATACATGTACTTATTTTAGCAGTAAAACCATCCAAACCCGAATTAAATTGAACTTTCACAAAGTTCTATTATATTTATATAATATGTGGAGTTTAGTCACGAAAATTACTTTTGTATTTGTATATATAATAACGCGGAAACCTTTTTGAAACGGGTATCTCATTCGATAGGTAATCGAGTTAGAAACATCATTAAAGGTTTCATTGAACGTAAACGCGTATATTTTATTTACTCGGTGAATGTTTTATATTTATAAAAAAAAACCTTTCTACATGGACTGATGAAGAGTGAATAAAATAATAATTGGTAAAATATGCTGACGATGTTGCTGCTCTTAAACTATAACAATATTTTTTTTCTACTTTTATTCTGTAAGTGTTACAGAAAATATTCTGCTTAAATACTACTAAGGTTATTGTTAACGAACTGCTAATATTATAATATATTTACTAAGAACCATAGATGTTGCACGACGAGAATAATTGTTACCTATTTATTTTTTAACAGTAAATAGTGATGTATGCAGCGAGAGTTCAGGTATTGTACCCACCTTTTTTATGCCCTTTTTATAGGCATAAAAATACAACTATGAATGTTTATGGAGTTTTTTAATTGAATTTTTATAATTTAGCTGAGAATAGCTTAGTTTTACAAGAAAAAAGCTTGATTTATTATATAAACATAAACATTTTTGGCTTTTAAATTCTTAACGTGATGACTACTATTTGCTACATAATTTCCCATTGAATCTGTCAAAATCGAAAAAAACAAAGTGATATATTTCAAACACGGCCAAATCGCTATTACCATTTCAACGTAAAAGCTTTTTGCCGTTAAAAAAACTTCGATTTATTCAAAAACGTTCCATATGCATTTGTTTATAAAAATGTAATACTAATATAGTTTAAAAATAAACTCTCCCTTTAATATTATCGTTCATATAGACTTACTCAGTAAAAATAAACTTTTATTATATATAATCCAATTAAAGAATTTATTTTTCAATAGGACTAATTCGAGTTTTTTTCAATAAAAATACTTCAATGAAAAATAACTATAATACTTCCACTCGGACTTCAAAGATTTAAATTAAAAGGGAAAGATAATTTTATCTAAATAAGAAAAGGATTCCGCCTCCCTACTTTAACCACTGCAGCTGTCAATTCAAATGTTTTAAAATTAGCTACCCTGTAAACACATTATTTTTAAAAACTCGAATTAACTGTAAATATTTGTTTGCAAAAATGTATTTTTTAATAAAAATAAAAAAGTTTTTCTTGTTACGTATATATATAATAAGTTTATTTATAATGCAATTTAAATAACTGAAGATATTGTTTTCTGAAAGGAGTGTTAATGTACATAATGTATAAAAGACAAGGAAATAAACATATTACGAGGGTGGTAAATTTCTTAACAAAGGTTCTCTTTCACAGTAACGTTCATATATATATATATATTAAACTTTGTTAACAAAGCTGTAATTAGCATTCCCGGTCATCGTGTGAAAACAGTTACGAGTAATTTTAGTGGAATAAAAGGGTTTAAGTAATGTTAAACGGATTGTTATTATTATAACATAAATTACTATATAATAATTCTTGATGGTAACCCAATGGGCCAATGATATTATTGTACGTTATTGATTAATTAACCATTATACTTATGTATTCTTCATCAGAATTTTTTTTTTTACAGAGGGTGGCAAAAAATTATATTATTTGTATACATTAAAAAAAGAAATTAGAAATAGTACTTTTGTTAGCTCGATTTTTAGAAAAATATTGACGATAAAAACTTCTAAGTAATATATATATATATAGAGAGAGAGAAGTATATTATATGTAGTACCCAGTAATAAAGGACGTATATATAACTTTTGGAGAGAGATCACTTTACGATTGTCGGCTTTACTACCTACCGAATTAATTAATTTTACGCAATCCCATGATATAATTTCATTAATTTTCGACAAATTCGTATTAATACCACAGACATATTGTACAACTATATAACAATTAGTTACTTAATAACTAGACAGCTGGTTGTGTTTTGATCGATGATACTCGGTAGTCAGGTACAACTTGGATAATGTTGGACTAATCGTTCGAATAATGAGAAACATCAAAATTTTCCTGGGATTTTCTTATAGTTTGTCTGTGATACCCACGTACTAGTTGTACAGTGCACATATTATGAAGGTAATTATAAAATGTATTCGTATATATATTTTGTATATTTATGCATGGCTCTACATTAAACTGAAGGAGGTAGAAAAAACCAATGACTTATTACGTATTATGACCTATAATTATATAATTATTAAGATATTATAAACGTATTTAATAACTAATAAGCTGAAGCCCAATAGATTATTTATCAAGCATTATGTGCCAGTACCAGTAATACATCATACCATTTGTATCTACTATAACTAAAGTCGTACTGTGTATTATTTACAGGGCAAATATCAGCTCTATCTGGGTGATAAGAAACATAACATCAAAAAGAAAAATTACCAACTACTAAAATTTGAATTTAGTATCAGTGATGACCCTGGACCCTAACCGACAAAGTTAGAGGTCGAAGGTTAGAGCAATGTAAAAATGTTAGAAATTCTTATTTCGTAAACAGTGACCAAGTAACAAATGGGGCAAAGTATCATAATTATATACCTAAAGTGTTATGGGAATCGGCTATTTATACATTTATTATATAGGTATGTCTATGAGTAATACAGAGAACAAAGTGAAGATCCTCTAACAGGTATATTGACTTCAAAATTAAAAATCTTCCATTCAATGAGGTTGGTCCTTTTTATAGTACTCATTTATTATATATTTTTTTGTGACCGAGAATAGTATGCGCCACGCCGTTGTTGAATTGTGATAATATAATATTATTTGCTGTACATTTTCAAACGACATTATAAATTACTCTACGATCCATCATAAATAATTGACCCATCAACTTCACATAATATTATACAGACATCATATACGATATGAATCTAATACAACCTAAAAGATTAATTTTAAATTTTACCATAATATTATTATATATTTGATGTAATTCGTTCCGTAGTATAATAGAAGAATGATACTGTTGTAATTTCTAAAAGGTTTAAAGTTGATTAAATAAAGACATAAAGGAAGTATGACATCATAACGTCATGTACTTTATATATTGTTGGAATGAGACGGACGTTTTCTGCAACCTTTGATACGCCAACGTACCAATCTGTTTTTTTGATTTGTGTTATTTTTAGTACATAATATAGTTACCCACGTGAAAATATCAACGTTTGCATTAAGAACCCCATGAAATGTCATCACTTCAGACACTAAATTAAATTAGGGTTCACACATTCGGATAAAGCGCGCTGTATTATATAATCTGATGTAGTAATATAAAATAAAAGTCCGTGTTTGGCTGTAAAACAAATATATAAACCAAATCTATAGCCAGCTGCAGATGTCTAAAATTTTAAAAGTAGGTGAACTGCAGGTGTAGAGGACAAAACAAAGAAGACGTGCATTAGCTAGAGAGATCATTTTTTTTTTTTTAACTTCTTTGTTATTTTCCTATATAATGATGGGAAAAAACTGACGGAAAAAACATCGAAAACAACGAGAATATTACACGAAACACCATCTCCGTTTTTTTTTCTGTCAAAATTGATTTAGTTTCTTTGTTGTAGTAAACGAATATTATAATTGTTAAGAAACTTAGAATTTTCCCCGAATATTATCGTTAACTGCATTTTCTAAACGTTGTATTATTTCCGAAATATTTAGGTATTTTAGATTCTGAGTGGACCAAAAATCTTGCTTCGATTATTAAGTGTAGCACCTTTTCAGAAAGGAAATCGGTGTGAAGAGATACTTTAAAAATGTAGTTTTTCGATTTTTCAGGAGTTTTTCATCAAATTTGATAATGGTTTAATGTTAATTACATATATACATTAAATTACCTATAACAGTGGCTACCCGTCCCCACTATCCTAGGACGTCTTTTTCGAGTTACTATTATGACAATTAGGTATTTTTTAAATGTTCAACTATTTTTTCTTATTCTAAGCGTAGAGCGAATTACTTTGATGTGTTTTTTTTTTAATTGTTCTTTTAACAATATTTCTACCGACATTTTTTCTCAAAAGCACGAATTTCAAAGATGGTTTCAGGGAGCAAATTTTGTAATTGGTTGGTCCGAAAACTCAGAAAGATGTTAGGTCATTCATAGGTATGTGTTCATATTACAGAAAACACGTAAAAGATTTTGCGAATATAGCTCACCCACTCACTGAATTGACTAAGGGGGACACTAAAAAAATNAAAATACAATTACTTGGTCACATAATATCTCGAGACGGTACAAAACCCACTGATACTAACACAAAAGCAATTACTGAATTTAAACAACTGAAAACTCAGAAAGATGTTATGTCATTCATAGGTATGTGTTCATATTACAGAAAACACGTAAAAGATTTTGCGAAAATAGCTCACCCACTCACTGAATTGACTAAGGGGGACACTAAAAAAATTATATGGAACGATGAACATGAACAATCCTTTAATCAGTTAAAACACATTTTAACTTCTAAACCAGTACTAAACCATTTTAATGACGAAAAAGAAGTTTACNGTATGTGTTCATATTACAGAAAACACGTAAAAGATTTTGCGAATATAGCTCACCCACTCACTGAATTGACTAAGGGGGACACTAAAAAAATTATATGGAACGATGAACACGAAAAATCCTTTAATCAGTTAAAACACATTTTAACTTCTAAACCAGTACTAAACCATTTTAATGACGAAAAAGAAGTTTACTTAACTATAGACGCTTCGTTATTAGGTGTAGGAGCTTGCCTTGAACAATGCGATAAAAATAACATACTACATCCAATTGGATACGCCTCTAGAAAACTATTGAATAACGAAAAAACTTACTCGTCCACAACATTAGAACTATTAGGACTATGTTTCGGCATTACATACTTTCGGGAATACTTATGGGGAAGACATTTTGTTAGATTTCAATTTCGAAATAATCTACAAAAAAGGAAAGGAAAACAGAGTCGCTGACGCTCTTTCTAGAAACCCCATCAATAAAATTGATATTAAAACTGATAATGATAATTTAAATATTGACTTAGCAAATATAAAAAGCCAACAAAATAATGACCAATTTTGTTCCCAAATTATAAAATCAATCAACAACATTCAAGTTGATCAAATCCCAATTGATATTAAAAGGAAATCGAGACAATTTTTGATAATAAACGACATATTACATCACAAACACTTTAAATCTCCAAATAATATCAATTATCCATTAGTAATCCCACAATCACTGATAAACAAAATATTAAAGTCATATCACGAATCACCCATTGAAGGTCATACGGGTATATCACGCACTATTCACAAAATACTATTAGCCAACATTAGTTCATGACCCAAGTACATAAAATCATGCCACAGCTGCCAAATAAACAAAAAATTAAACGGGAAACCCATAGGACAACTAAATCCAATACCCCTTTCAAACAGACCCCTAGATAAACTAACTTTCGATTACTTAGGTCCGCTCACATCAAGCAATAGCAAAAAATACGTCTTAGTGGCAGCATGCAATAACACAAAATTTATTTTCACAAAAGCTGTTGAGTCAGCCACAGCACATTCAACCATAAACTTTATTATTCAAATAATATCACAATGGGGCTGTTTCCGATAATTTTCATCTGATAGAGGTACACACTTTAGAAATCAATTAGTGAGCGAAGTATGCAGTAACTTGGGAATAAAACAAATATTATCAACCAGTTACTCCCCACAAACGCAAGGATTTGTTGAAAAAATAAATGGTGTATTATGCAATGCTCTAAAAAATTACATAGACTTAATAACCAATCAAGATGGTCATATTATTTACCATACGTTACGTTAAGTTCCAACGCCACACCACAAACTAGCACTAAATACAGTCCTTTTTACTTAATGCACGGTTTTGAACCTTATTTTCNAACAGTTTAATGACGAAAAAGAAGTTTACCTAACTATAGACGCTTCGTTATTAGGTGTAGGAGCTTGCCTTGAACAATGCGATAAAAATAACATACTACATCCAATTGGATACGCCTCTATAAAACTATTAAAAAAGGAAAAAACTTACTCGTCCACAACATTAGAACTATTAGGACTATGTTTCGGCATTACATACTTTCGGGAATACTTATGGGGAAGACATTTTACTGTATTTTGTGACAATATCAGCTTACAATACTACACAAACTTGAAAATATCATCGGCTAGAATAGCTCAATTAACTCTAAAATTGTTAGATTTCAATTTCGAAATAATCTACAAAAAAGGAAAGGAAAACAGAGTCGATGACGCTCTTTCTAGAAACCCCATCAATAAAATTGATATTAAAACTGATAATGATAATTTAAATATTGACTTAGCAGATATAAAAAGCCAACAAAATAATGACCAATTTTGTTCCCAAATTATAAAATCAATCAACAACATTCAAATTGATCAAATCCCAATTAATATTAAAAGAAAATCTAGNAATAATCTACAAAAAAGAAAGGAGAACAGAGTCGCTGACGCTCTTTCCAGAAACCCCATTAATAAAATTGATATTCAAATTTATAATGATAACTTAAATATTGACTTAGCGGATAATGATAACTTAAATATTGACTTAGCGGATACATTAATAAAATTGATATTCAAATTTATAATGATAACTTAAATATTGACTTAGCGGATATAAACTTAGCGGAAAATAATGACCAATTTTGTTCCCACATTATAAAATCAATTAACAACATTCAAATTGACCAAATCCCAATTAATATTAAAAGGAAATCGAGACAATTTTTGATAATAAAACGACTAATGACATAATTCATGTCAGAAGATTGAAACTATACATTAATAGAAAGAAAAAGTAGGCAGATTAGAAAAAAAAAAAAAAAATAATAATAATAACAAATAATACTATAACAATATATAATATAATAACATATATATATATATATACACATAAAAACCGTTTATTTGAAAGGCCTCCTCACAACAATAATTATATGGTACCATACGTTTTAACCATTTTTACCATCTTATTACGCTCAGATATTATAGTATTATCGAGTAGGGCACCTAATATAACAAAAAAAAAAGAAAAAAAAAAAAAGAGATACGTAATATACCTTTTTTTTTTATAATCTTATAAACACACGCAAAGACTAAACAAATTATCATATTCTTCCACCCATCCGATAAAACTATTATATACTTACTTATCAATAAACTTTTATTCACAGGGTTTTTCTTTCTCTTCCCTTCCACATTATTACTATCATAATTTCCTTATATTATTCGTAACTATTTGTTCATTTATTTATATATAGATATTTTTTTTTCTTTATTTATTATATAATACAAATAATCAACATGCTCAAAGACTCTCTGTTTATATTCCTTACACTTTGCACAACTACAAACGGATTTATAGCTTATGATTGTAGTGGATCATAAGTCAACATCACGTCCTTCAACAGCTTAGAAGTGGACGACTGTGACATACCAACGCCCGTCGAAATCCAACACATGCGAAGAATAAAATTATTACAGAAAGCAGAAACACAACCCGTATATTTCCAAACATGTTTTATTTCCANCACAACTACAAACAAATGTATAGCTTATGATTGTGGTGGATCACAAGTCAACATCACGTCCTTCAACAGCTTAGAAGTGGACGACTGTGACATACCAACGCCCGTCTATCTAACACATGCGAAGAATAAAATTATTACAGAAAGCAGAAACACACCCCGTATATTTTTAAACATATTTTATTTCCATTAACATAGAGTGTACTACACGCCTCTAGGAAATATAATATCCTCCTCAAAAATTGAAACCAGCTACCACACTATCCTGGTCTTACGAAAATGCAGATAATTTCATGATGGTCGGAATTTACATTCCAGAAATATTCAATGCACTACTAAACACCTCATGTACCCGCATTAAACTGAAACGGCCTAGAAAAATCTAATAAGACAGACAATTGGTCATGAATTAATAAATCAAGGATTTGACACTAGGAATATCATAAGCGAACTAACAATAAGTAACATGGTCCATTCTGAATTACAAAAATTTGGGATAGGACATGTCGCATTCAGCCTCTTAGGAATCTTTGTGATAGGCAAAGTTTCTCTAATGACTATCAACACCATACTGAATATATCCATCCTTTACAACACATTTGGTTGGAGCAATAAATTAATAGCGGGTATTTTCTCCAACATAACGCATTATCTAATGCACAAGGAGAACTCGAACAGATACAGGGCTGTTTCTACTACTATCACCAACAAGACAACGGAAGAAAAACACCCTACTCCACAATTGTATCCAAATCTTCGAAGAACTTCAAAATAAAATAAGTATCCACCACACATCACATGCATACGGACCCCCCTTTCATATTATATTCATTTACTCTCTCCCCTTATTAATACTANACTACTATGACCAACAAGACAACGGAAGAAAAACACCATACTCTACAATTGTATCCAGATCTTCGAAGAACTTCAATATAAAATAAGTATCCACCACACATCACATGCATACGGACCCCCTTTTATTTTATATTCATTTTACTCTCTCCCCTTATTAATACTACAATTTAATATTAAATATTGATTTCTTTATAAAATAATATGCATTGTTATGAGGGCATAACAAAAAAGAGACTGGGGTGGATGTAATGATATGCTATTTAAGCTATCATACATTATGTAAAATAAAATATTATAAGTCAAACAATTAACAACGGAAATTATAGTTAAACATTTACATCCGATGACATTCCTTTTTTCTTATCAAATAACATATATTTTAGTGCGATATTTACTCATCGTAAGGAGATAATACTTAAGCTATCATATATAATTAAAATAAATTATATAGTCAATATTGTAAAATAATTATATTAATTTGTAGCCATTAATNGCCTGAAGAAGAAAGGTAAACAAATTTATAATTAATTTATACGTGTGAATCGAATTTACATAACTAGGCACCTCCCGCCTTATTTTTGAATTACTACAGTTTTAAGACAACCTTCATTAGAAAACCGGAAACAAAATTATAGGTTTTAACGATTTCATTGTTTTTAATCTGTACGCACTAAGTTTTTTACTAGGAATATTAGTAATATAGCTTTAATAAAAATCTGCCTAGACACCTTTTTTGTTTCATTTTTTTAATCTAAATGGTGAACAAGAAAGTCGTTTTCTAATTTTTTGCGAATTTTTCTTACTAATTTAAAAAAAATTTGAAAAACATAGAAAGAACCATAAAGTTTACGGAAACATTGGTTTCATTATTTTTAATTTTTTTCTGTTATAATTCAACTAAAAATATTCATAGAGACTTGAAATTTTGATAGAAAAGTTATACTTTAATTTTTATAGACATAATAAAATATTCAAAACATTTTTGAACTATTTTTATGTATTTAATGTTTGCTATTTTTTTTACATAATTTGTATTTGGTAAGTAGGTCCTACTTATGTGGATATAATTGTTTGACTAAACAGAAATATTTGAAAATTGAACAAGAGAAAAGGTTAAGTTGTACTTGGTGGTAAAAAAAAATAAAATGTAATGTAGGTTTTTTTTATTTTGGTTTTAATATCAAATTTTGATAAAAATCGTAAATATTATTACCTTTAAAATGATTTATAAACAAACTTTGCTCGGAATCGTTTTTCCTTAACAATGGTATATCGTTGCTTATACACAAATGTTTAGAACTCACAAATTATACTGTACAAATTATTATTAAATATTATTTATTTTGTTTTTCAAGTATTTCTAAAATAGTAAAATAATTCGATCATAATTAAAAACTTGATAAGCGAATATCGGAAAGTTGTAATAATTGTTCTAATTATTAATCTTTTAGATACATATCTAACTGCAGAAAACCATGTCCCACAAGAATTTAATAACTCAATACATCGGCGGCTGTTAGATATAAATTCCATTAGTGCAAACTAAATATTTAATTTAAAATTGTGTATAATATAAAAAAACTTAAAGATTTTATTTTTTGAATTATTGTATAGTAAGTATTCAAGAACTTCATCTAAGTGCAGGTGTAAATGGATAATTCAAATATTGTCGAACTGATTTCGTTAAAATTATTCATATTATATTATAAAAAGAACAGGATTTTTTTTTATCTATTAAATCAACAATAAAAAAGCGAGATATTATTATCATATAATACAGTTGTTTTAACTTAATGAAATATAACTCACGGTACTTATAATTGCACAAATTTACATTTTTAATAAATTCATTTTAAATACAAAAGAAATAATGTTCATTATGCATGACCTAGGAATAAAAAGAATATTCCGATTATATTATTTTTGTATGTAAAATTTGAAGTACTGTCTAGCTACATATTATTATTTTATATATTTCATCCCAAACATTTGTTTTTACTCACCATTTTAATACACTATATCTGTTTTGCTTAACGCTGCCCGTGCCAATTTATTTTCTCCCTCCTTTTTTTTTTTAACCATTTAGAAACAGATTGTTTTATAAAAAATCATTTTAAAAACCGAAATCTATTAAAAAGATTCAATTTAACATGTATCCCTTTCCAAACCCATTTCAATCACTGCAGTTTAACAAATTTGTATTTCTTAACCCGTCAAAACTAAATTAATTAACCTAATAACTGTTTTTTTCGTCCATATCACCAGGGTTTAGGGCCAAAAAAAAATTAAATTTTCATAATAAAAATACCTAAACTCTTATGTGATCCACCCTTTATACAATTTTTTCTTCGAAAATCCTGCTTCGAAGTGGACAGGGATTCCTTCCATCCGCTTCTCTGTGTACATTTTTCAGTGACGGATATCGAGGGCTAGCAATAAGTGGATCGTCCCCCTTTCAACACTTTATATTAGTACCCAATTCATCAATATTTGATGTTATAGTTTTAAATTGGTATATTATAGTATTTATATGAAATACTTATAAATAAACTGCTAAAATAATGAGCACCTAAAGAGGAGCGTGCTCAACAATGTTCAATGTGAGGGTTGTTGTAGATAATTTTTTCAATTGAACGATCAAAAAATGTATATTTTCGTAAAAATTATATAGTAATACATTTTAAAAAAATATTATGGGAGGGGTTGATCCCGAGACCATCTGTTGATTTTAAATTTATTCCCCAAACAAAGCTGCGAAATTTCCAATTCTCTGCATGCAATAGATTCACGTAAAACAAACATTTTCTCTTTAAATATATTATGATTTACGTCGATATTAAAATAATAACGATCGCTCACTAAACAAAATTAATATTTTACTAAAATTAAATCCAAACAATATAATATCGAAATTAAAATTAGTTTCATTGATTCGTATAAAATTATTATCCACAAATATTCGAATATCATACATTTTTCATACTGGCGTTAATTGTTATATAGGTAGGTACACCATTCGTAATATACTGATCGCAAAGTAGCTTTACAAATGTGTTATACATTTAAGATGCTGCACAAAGGATTAATATTCAACATTTAAAATATTAAGTTTTTTAGAATCGGAGAGGAGCGAAGAATATATTGGTTTTACTAGGTTATGTTTTTTGTTTCTATCTGTTAACAACTTTTCGAAAATAAAACTTGATCTGATGTATTAAGTGTATTACCTTTTCTGAAAGAATATTTTATTAATTTAGTACATTAAAGAAATCATTTCTTTGATTTTCAAAAGGAGTTTTCAAAATATTTGGGAAAAAAAGAAAACCAATAATATTATGGGTAAAACAGCAAATATTTTGTTTAATTTAAGATCTAATTGCTCAAGAAGTTAGTCGGTTTTTGAATTTCCAAAAATGTTTCATAATAATTTGAAAAATCCGGAAAAGACGAAAAATGAAATGTAGTTATACAACTATTTATAGACATTTTAATTTTGCAAGTTTTTTACGTAACTTTATGGATACAATTGTACAAACAAACAGAAATGCTTAAAAACTTAACAGAAGGTTCATAATAAGGTGTACTTATTTGTTATAAAAAAAAAGGTGAGTGTAATTTTTTTTTTTTTTTTTTTTTCAATAAAAGTTTTAATATCAAATTTTGACAAAAATCGTAAATATTACGATAAAACATTCTTTCGGAACAGGTATAACCAAATTTCCAAATCATTTTTCGTTAGTAATGGTTAAACGCTACTTACAAAATTTAAATTAAATAACTTTATGTATCCTACTTACCCAACTTTCCACCTCTAATAGTGGTACACCATTCCCCAGTATCAGGTATTTATTTAAATTTTAACCCGAACAAAAATTCCAAAATTCTCTCGTTTGATTATAAAATCAAAATTCAGGTAGTAATAGATTTTTCATAAAGTTCAAAGGCGCATTTTTATTATTTTAAAATCTAAATATATGACCTATAGTTTATGAGAGAACTGTTAATAGAAATCGCTAATAGAAAACAGTACGAAACTCATTAACGTTTAGCTAAATGTATACCTAGTAAAGTTATATAACATAGTGCTATCATTCGTATTAATTTTTTGATTTCTTTCGGTCGCCGTTAAAATGTTTAGTATTTAGAATTTAAAATCGAAAACACGGTTCAACCTACTTCGCACGTGGGTGCAGCAACTGCTGTAGATGGGAAGTTGGGATAGTAGAATACAGACGAGAATTTAATGTTTATCTGTAAGGAACGATAAACCATTGCTAATGAAAAGCAGATTCTGAACGGAGTTTAGATGATAGTGTTGGTTAGTCAAAAATATATATCATATTATGGTAAGATGATTACAAAAATGTACGTTTCCATGACAACAAACAATGATTATTTAAAAAGATTAAAATAATGAAAACTTAATAACAAAAAATAATTTAAAAAGGTTGCCAATGACAATCTTATTTTTATTACTACTATTTTTTTAACAAAAAAAAAAACAGGTTTCCCTCATTATCTCGAATATTGTTGAGAATTTCAAAAATGACATCTCTAAAGTACCACCCAGAGAAAATTTTCTTTTCTTTTTAAAAAAGGTGCTAAAAGGTGCTAACTTGATCATTAGAGTAAGCTTTTTGATAGAAAAAGTGTTCACATAAAAAAAAAAAAAAAACATCATTGTAAAACCAATACATTTCTCGCTCCACTCAGAATTTAAAAAACAAATAAGTAAAGACTCATGGCCGTGAGCTTTTGCTGACATAAGCCATGGGTTGGCCACTGCTGAAGGTAGAGAAATGGGATTGATAGACAATAACGTAGCAACCGAATATTGCGTCAGGTGCAAAGGTTTAAAATATACCCTTATAAACTTTAACTTATCATGAAAATTCAAAGCTGAATGATTTTTACAAATTACAACCTAATGAGTGGTCTAATTATCTCTCATATTTCTTTATTGAATTTCCTAATTTTCAAATTTTTTGTTAATTAGTTTCTTTTAACACGATATATTTACGTTTTTAGAGTATTTTTGCATTCCCCCAGGTACGGGACATAGGTATCCCTCGACCCCCTTCCTACGGCCTCGGTAATAGGGTATATAATACAATTTGTATATTATAGGTACCATATGCGCAACGATAATAAATCATTGCAAATTAAAAACGATTCGGAGCAGATTCCGTGGGTCTTTTTTTGATAATTTTATTCAAATTAAAAATAATTATTGTTGTGTTTTTTTTTTAAACAATTTTATCATGAATTCGAATATAAAATTTACATAGGCTCTCGGTAAAACTAATAATATAGAACGCATCATTCCGCGACTTTCCACTAGGAATCTAAAAAACAAACGCGTCCGTTCGAAATAGTTTTTTATTTTTTTCAAATGTATAAGATTTATCGTTTGCTATACGTATATAAAATTCTGTACTACGAGACTTTAACCTAACCGAAAAATATACAACAATAATAATATGCAC